TATTAATAAATAATATTATTTTTATAATTTAGAATTTTTTGATTTGAAACGAAAAAAAGCAAAATATAACTAGAAAAAGTAAAGTGAAGTAGTTATAATGACACAATTATTTGATTTAATTAGTTTTCCACCATTTAAATTAAAAGAGACTACTAATGTTCCAATATATCAAGCATTAACAAGAGTCATTTCTTCACAATTTGGAACTGTTTATCCATCAATACAACCCTCACTTAAACTTATAGAAAATTTAAGAGATAAACTTGTCAATTCTAATAATCCTGAGATAATTATCAAAAGTGGAACGGATTATTATAATTATCTCAATCTTTTAATTCATAGAATTGATTTAAACTCAAATCCTCTTCAAATAACTTTTAAATGGTCAGACACATTTAAAAAGGATAATAGTAGTAGCAGTTCTTCATTAATTTATTTTGAATTAGCTAATGTATTATATAATGTTGCTATTTCTCATATTTTATTATGTATTTCTTTATTTAAAATTCAAATCCAACCAGCAATAAATCATTTAAAATCAGCAGCGTACATTTTTAATGAAATCCTAAAAGTTATTTCTGGTAATGAAAAACAAATAACATTAGTTGATATTCATCCTGATGTATTAAAAACACTTAATCAGTTTTGTATTCTTTCTATTCAATATCTTTTCTATCAAAAATCTAAACAAGAAAATAAAACACAAGCCACTCAACTAAAGCTTGGTGCTGGGGTTTATCGTCTTTCATTATTAGTACATGAGTCATTAAAAATTAGTAAAGAATTCTTTTCACGACCAATTTACGCTGTTATTTGTATGTTTTTAAGAATTGTTGTATCTGAAGTTCAATTACAAATTTCTTCACATAATGCAAAGGAAGAATTAAAATATGGAGAGCAAATTGCACGTACTATGATTGTTATTAATGACCTTGAATCAATTTCTCATTTAAAAGAATTACCAAAAGAATATAAAGGAAGTTGTGATAATATTATTAAATCATTAAAAGCTAATTTGGCTCAATATGAAAAAGATAATAATGAAATTTATTTCCAAAATATACCAGAACCAAATGAATTGGAATATCCAGAAGCTACAATATTAGCCAAAACAAATCCTATTTCTCCAATAGAAAATAATCCTTTTAAAGAGTTATTACCATTAAAAATTAGAACTTCATTTAGTAATTATATTATAAAAGCAAAGCAAGTTATTGATGATACCAAAAAAATTTCTCCAGCAGCTACAAAAACAGGAAATGATTATTTAGCTCGAATAAAATTAAATGAGTTAATTCAAGTAATAACAAGTCCAGATATAGTTCCATCAGACATTGAAAAATTTATTAAAGAATTTAGTGAAACAAAACAATATAGTAAATTAAAAGAAAGTCTTGATATTATTAAACAAACAACTGAAAAGAATGATAATATGATTAAAGAAATAAGACAAAGATTTGATGAAGAAGCATTAAAAGATCAAGACGGAATTATGAAATATCGAAATTATTGGAATATTCCACTTGTTAGTAATCAACAAGATAAAATTAATAAAATAAGAGAAATTGATAATTTTATAACAACAAGTAAAAGAAATGATATTGATTCAATAACTAAAATGAAGTTAAATGATGAAATGCTTAGTTTATTTGAACAAGGAGTTAAAGAATTAATTAAATTCTTCCCAACTAAAGAAGAAAAAGAAACAGTTTTACCAATTATTAAAACATTAGAAGAAGAAAAAAGTGAATGGGAAAATATTATTAATGATAGAGAAGAATTACTTCAATTAATTTTAAATAGTGCAATGGTTCAAGAATCAGAATTAATTGATGAATTAAATTCAAGTGATAATCAAGCAGGAGTAGTAGAAAAATATACTAAAAAATTAGTTGCATTAACTTCACAAATGCAACAATCATTTGACAATCAACAAACATTATTAAAACGTATTGATAAAAACAAATCTGAAATTCAAATAATTTTAGGCTCAAAAGCAATTGAATTAAATACAAATATTAATAAAATTTATAATGCAATGAAAATTGTTGGCGAACTTAGAGATGAAATTGCACAATCAATGTCTTATCATGCATTTATTTTAAGTAAAATTACAACATTACAAAATGATATTTTTACTTTTTGTGATAAACATAGTTTTGAAGTACAAGACCTTTTACGAAGATTAGAGTCAGCTAAAATTAAACCATTATCTAATTCTGCTCCTCAGTTCCAATTTAATACTCAAAAACCTTTACCTCCACCTCCGGCTAAACCATCACTGTCTCTTTCTTCTCAACAAGAATTTAATACTCAAAAACCTTTACCTACTCCTCTTCCTAAATCGGTATCTTCTGTTAGATATGCAAATGGATATCCCCCTCAACCTTCACTTTACAGTTCTTCTCAACAATATCCCCCTTCTCAATATACTAATCTCAATTCTTCTTTTGATACAACTAAATCTCGTTCTATTCAACAACCAAATGTAGTATATTCCCCTTACCAATCTACACAAAATCCATATGTTATGAATCATCCAACAACACCTTATACACAAAATAATTATCCAATTCAACAACCTTATTATCAGCAACCATCACAAGTATATCGTCCTCAACAAATTAATCAACCAAATTATCCAGCACCTGGTTACACTGTACAAACAGCAACTGGATATCCAGTCCAACCTAATGCATATCCCATAAATAGAAACACTGTTCTTAATCCATATCAAACCACACCACAAATGCAACAACAAAGCATGTATTCATCACAGAAATACTATCATTAGTTCTAGTTTTTTTAAAGAAAATTCAATGATTTCTTTAAGTATTCTTATTAAGATTCTATTTAAAAAATATAAGATATACGTTTAATCATTTAATAAAATTGAACATAATGTGTATTGGTTAAATCAATGAATAATATGAATAACAACTTTATTCTAATCATATTCTTCTGTCTCAGTTTTTATAACACAAAAAAAATATATTTAATAATGAAAATTATAAAATGTTAATTAAATTTAATTAATAAAAATACTTTAAAATAATTGTTCTTCTGAATCAATTTCAATATAATTTGAATTTCTTTGGTTTTGTGTAAATTCAGATGATTTAATAAATTTGTTTATTTCTTTGTCTTCTTCAAATGGTCTAATTAATCTTTTTCTTGATTGTAATAATTTTTCTTCTTCTGATTTAAGAGCTTCATTTTCATTTTTCATTCTTTGGAGTGTAACGTTCATTTCCTCTCTTTCTTTTTTCATTCTATTAATTATCTCAGTCATTTCATCTTTGCTATTATTATTTATTTCTTTCAATCTCTTTTTAAGTTCTTCAATCATTTTCTCTTTTTTTTCATCTTCTTCTTTCATTTCTTCAATTTTTTTCTTCAGAATTTTTATTTCTTCTTTTTGATTAATATTTTCAGTTTGTTGGTATTTTATTGTTTTTTGAAATTGATTGATTTGATCTTCTAAAATTTTGACTTTATTTTGGTTACTTGTCTCAATATCTTTCATTGGAATTTGCATTGAATTTTCTAATTTAATTAAAATACTTATAATTTGGTCTCTGTTTTCTATGTCTTAATTTATCTCACTGTGCTATGCTAATTATTTTAAAAACAAACGACCAAACTCATTTCCTTTTTCTTCTAACACATTTATCCTATTTATTATCTCATTTATTATCCTATTATTATTATTCAATTCTTCATCGGTTTTGTATTGTTTGGTTGTAATATTTCCTTTTGACATTTTTTTTATTTGATTTTTTTTAGTTTTTTGTAAATAACAAAAAAAGTTCTATTTTAACATTAACACGTGTAAATGAGCATTGTTCAAAATGAAATATCACTAGAAGATATATCTTATTATAATTATAAATTTCAATTATGTTATTAAAGGGAATATATAATTATTAATTTATTATTCATTATCAATATAAATACCAAAAAAACTTATAATAATATTTAATTAATATATAATAATCAAAAATATTTTATTCATAACTAATGAGTTGTCATTGTCCATCCATAAAAAATAAGGATATAGTAATAAAATATATTTAGTAAAAGTAATGAAAAGTTTATACAAAGATGTATTGATAATATTTAATTTAACAAAGAGAAATAAAATTACAGTACTCATAAGACTATTTGATAAGATGTGTATGTAAAGTGACTTAATTCATATTAATGTTTATTATTTCTATTATCTGATAAATAAATAAAATTAGATATTTTATTTTGGCTTAGTTTTCAAATTAAATATAATTATAAAAACCATTTTGTTTCAATAATAAAAATTATTAATTTATTTCAGTAATTGTATTTAATATTCAATTATATTCAAGTAGATAAGTCTACAATATGTTTTTATTTTCATATTCTGAATAAATGGGAGTATTACACTCATATCCGAATTTAAACAAATACTTTTTAATTTTAATTTATTAATATTGAATTTTAGTGTATTGTAGTTTTTAAATTTAATAAAAATATATTTGAATATAATACTAGTGTTTAATGGTATTCAATTTAATGAGTATTATCTGGAATGTATTAAAATATATATTAATAAATTATTTCATTTATGTTGTTGTTTGTTTATTATGATTATTGTTTAATTTATACAACAAGAATTCATTGAAAATATTTTTTTATAATGTCTTTTAGATATTATTTAATTTTCTTTATTATTTTTATTATATTTGGTTATGTGTGGCAACGAAAAAAGCAAATAATTGAAAAA